TTCGCGGAAGAAGACGGGGTAAGGATCAAGCTGGGCGTAGGGGAAGACGAAGAGTCCGTCCTGAGGGAAATGCGCGCAGCAAGAGAGGAAGATGGTGCGGGGCAAAGCAAGAAACGGGGGTGCGAGACGCGCGAAGAAATCGGAGCTTAGGCGTGCGCGCGCAAAAAAATTCAAAAAGTCCCAACCGAAACCGTTTCTTGGTTGTCATACCGCGGCCGCTATTCGTCCGCGCAGGAGTTATTATCCAAAAAAAAAAAAATGAAAAAGCCGTTTCAAAAAGAAAACAAAAGCAAAAAGAAAGAAAAACCCCTTTTTGTTCGCATCCGTACTTCGGGGCTTCCGGGGGATTTTTCCTCAGGGATACGGCAAGCCGTGCGGTACGCGTCTGAGCTTATCACATCTGTGATACGCAGGAGGTTCCGAAAAATTAGCAGTCGCCTGACTGCTGATGTCATCATATTTTGGATGCTCGGGCGGCCTCTTCATCGTCAGCTGGCCCGAGCATCTCCTATCCTACTTCGATGCATTTCGCATCGTCAGCCATCTCCCTCTTATTATACATTCGATCGGGCGGCCCCTTCATTGTCAGCTGGCCCGATCGGTAAGTAGTTCACTGAATTTTTTTATTTTTATTTTTTATTATTATTATTATTATTATTTTTTACAGCGCGTCTCGACGCGCGAACTTTGGTCATAGGAGAAGAAGACGATGAAGAGAAGGAGAAGGAGAGAAAGGGGAGAGGTAGCCGAAGGTGATCAGAGGAAGTGATCGATATCGGGATTGAGAGGGGGCGGAATAGGTGGAAGAAAAGCGGCCATTGCCGCGGGAGTCGTCGGCGCGTCTTCCTCATGGAAGTGGTGCTGGACGAACGAGGGATAGAGGAAGGCCCCCGGCACATGAGACAGGACACGTGGCGCCAGATCCGCCACCGCTCGCACCACCCGCTTGCGCACCGACCGGGGTCCGGGCCCCGTCATCACCGTATGAGTCTCGGTGTAGGGCCGCCGCTCCCGCTTCTGCGCCGTGAAGACAAGGAAGTGATACACCACATTGGGACGCTGCCCGGTCTCGTAGATGAGCGTCCCCGCCAGTCGCGCCGCAATACACCCTTGAAAAGGGGGTGTCAGATATGGTTCCCACGCCGGATCAGGGTGCGGCGCCCCCGTGATGGCCTCGAGCCTGATGGTGGTGGGCTCCACCATGAAATCCACCTCTGTCGGATGGACCGTCTGGCTCGGAGGAACTACTAATGCCAATGATCGAGGCACTCCAGGGTGGCGGGCGGAAGCGGAAAGGTCCCGCGAGGACGGGGGATCTGGATACGGGATCCGGTAATCCCATTCGGCTCCCTCCTCCGGCTGTTGCGGCTGATGGCCCGGCTCCATCGAGATTGAGATCGGGCACGCGCGGGAAGGGCGGTGATGGCACGACGGTCTCCTTAACCCGCGTCGCCGCACTCCCAGGCACTGGGTCAAGATTCCGCGTGCGCACGGGCTGAACCACCTCCTCGCCGCCACCGATTATGCTGCCTTGCGCTCCTGGCGACGGGTGGCGTCTCTTCCTCTTCGGCGTCTTCTTGGGGGCCTTTGGCGGCGCCAGTCTGGGATACGACGAGGGAGGTCGCAACAACTTTTCCTCCGGGAAGTCCTCCAACCTCTCCGCGCGCTGCGCAATGTAATCCGGGATGACGACCGCGTAGTACGTTCTCCACAGGGCAGCCGCCGTCCGCAATCGTGGCTGGATCTCCTCTTCCTCGCTCGCGATCACTTGCGCAATGGATATGAGCTCAAGATGTATGAGCTCCAACAATCCCGGATCGATCGTCTGGAGCTAGGCGAATGGGTACAGTGCCACCGTCCCCTCCTTTTGCGCTGGCTTGGGCCGTGTGATGACGTAGTAGACAACGAAGTGCTCCCCGATGCAGTGGTCTTCGTGATCCACGAAGAATCGGAACATCCCCAACGCCACCGACTTGTACAGCGCACGGTGCAACTCCCACGTGTCTTCGTCTGCGAAGGGCAGCGGTTCCACGTCAGTTAGCTCCACCAAATACTTCGAGAACTCGCGCATAGGATAAGGGCCCTCCGTGAGTTGATAGGGGAGAGTGGTGTAAGAGAAGAAGGGAGGCATTTAGTGCGGGGCAGAGGGGATAGCTTGGATGTTGAGGGGGGCAGCGGGAGGAAGAAGCGCGGGGAGCTGCGGCACCAACGCGATTGGTCCGTCCTCTGCCCTGCGCAGCAGCGCTTCGTGGGCTGTGAATCGGTGTCCCCTCCCGTCCTTGCACTCTGGCCACTGATCTGGCCGCCTGCACTGCGTACTCGCGCACAAAACTCCGCACCAGCTCCTCGGCGGTGGCAGGATCGTCAAGTCTCCGATAAAGGTGGCGACGCTATGCACGAAGTTGGGTGCCACCTGGAGCGCGCAGAACTCGATGAACACTCGAGTCGTCTCCTGCCCAGGCAACTGCGTCACGTCCACGTACACCCCTGCATACGCCAGCCGATCACAAAGTAACGAGTATGTTGTCAGATCAGCAACCCCGGGCGCTGGCACGTTCACCTGATGAATGTCGTATCGCAACTGCCTTTCCTCATTGAACTGGTGCCGCAACAAGCGATTTGCAAGCGGCGTCTGGAAATGCTCGAGGGGCTCATGCTCCGGCTGGCGATGGTTCATCCTGCTCCCAGAGGAAGAAGATAAAGAACGAGAGGAGGAGAGAGAGGACGAAGGCTCGGACGGGGCACGAGCCGATTCGCGGCCCGGAGATGGCCGAAACAGCCGAAGAGCCGCCGCGTGCCGGGTAAGCGACCTGGCCTGCGTGCTATGCCGGGGGACCAGCTTCACGGAGTGCTGTCCTCGTGCGCCAACTTCCGTCACTTCGTAAATGCTGGTATAGCGTGGGTGGATCTTGGAGGAGCGTGCAGATTTCAGTACCTGCACGCGTGTCGGTTCTCATAGTCCCGGATCTGCCGTTGATGCGTCAGATCTACGGCCCTTTGTCGTCTTCGGGCTAACGCGGGATAGGTCTGGGCCATCAGATCCAGGTAATGTTGGGCCTTGTCCTTGTGCTGGGCCCGGGTCACTCTAACTTTCGTACCCACTAGAGGTGACAACTGCACTCTGGGGACGCTATTGGTTCTCAGTTGAAACGGGGACACCCCGGTGCTCCCGTGGGGAGTAGCCCGATAGACGGCCAAAATGTGGTCGACTATGACAGGCCAGGGCCTGGTATCACCTGCCGTGATATTCCGTCTAAGTGCAGTCTTGATCATTCGGTTGGCATTCTCTACGAGCCCGTTGGCTTGAGGCCAGTGCCCTGCAGAGTATGAAATTCTAGCGTCTGCCCTTACAAGATGTCTCTCTACTTCCCCCTGGAACTCGGATTCATTGTCTATATGTATCTCTTCTACGTCCAGGTGCATGCACAAAAATCGATTAATGTACCAGGCTACTTCCTGCGAGTTCCGGCTGGTCATTGGATACGCTTCGATCCATGTCAAAAAGTGATCAACAGCTACAAGAAGAACATTAAGTTCTCCTTGATCAACAGGGCCTCTCGGCACGTTGATATCCGTCGTATCGATATTGACCCATTGGAAGGGGCGCTCTACCCGGGTAGGCACTATTGTACGGGGCATCTGTATCGGCGCTTTATCGGTCGCGCAGGTCGGGCAAGCCCGGACGATGTATTTCACATCTTCCCGGATTCCCGACCAGTACCATCCGTTTTTCTCTATTGCTTTTTCTGTGTATTTGACTGCAAAGTGGACCGCATCCTCCTCGTGGGCGGCTCGTGTCCAATCGAACCTGGCCTGTGGGTGTGGAACCGTCAGCCAACTAGATCCGTCGACGTCATCGTCTTTTCGTTTTTGTAGGACGGATTCCTGCCAGCGGTAATCGTGCGCCCGTTCCGTGACACGTCGCCGTTCAGCCTTGGTAAGTTCCGTCAGCGGATCGCTGGTCAGTCTCCGTAATAGTGGAAGATCCGTCCAGACTTCCGCTCGGCGGACGCTTGGCAAAAATCCGTCTGCCGTTCTAGCTTCTAGATACCCCTTTTCCGTAGGTACGTGGTCCGTTCGGCAGTTGGGACAGTTCCAATTTTTTTCATTCCGATACCGGGCACAACTCCCATGGGACCGGACGATGTGACATTGACTACATTGTACCCAGGGAAGAAAGCTAGGCCCCTCGAGGGGAGGATCTCCCCCTGTCGGTATCATGGGAAAGGTGCAGAAGAAACAGATTTGGGAAGGCGTGCTTGGAGGGGAGTCAGGGTCAGGAGAGGGGGTTAAGGAATAGGGAAGGGGAGAAGGGGTGGCGGCCTCCTCATGGGAGATCGCCATCTCCGGTTGCTGCAGTACCCTTGCGGAGGACATTCACCTCCCCGTAGCCGGGTTCCGTCGAAGGCAAAATCGGCTTCCACGGGATGAGCTTCTCGTTCGCGGGACTCTTGGTCGGTGGCTGGAGGCGCGTCAGACCCCTGGTGGCGCGGTGGCGGATGTCGAAGTCGTAGTCCTGCAATCTCACCGCCCACCTTCCCAAAGTACCCGTGTAGTCCGTGTTGTTCCGCAACGATAGCAATGGCTGGTGATCCGTCACGATCACGAACTTCTGGTCGTACAGATACGGTCGAAAGTGCTGAACCCCCCACACCACCTCCAAGCACTCACCCTTGCACGCATCGTAGTTCGACTGCGCCTGACTTAGCGTTTTCGACGCATACTCGATGACGTGCTCCCTTCCATCCGTTCCTTGCCGAGTCAGCACCGCCGATATCGCCTGCGGCTGCCAGTCGGTATGCAGCGCAAACTGTCGTGTCGGATCGGGACGCGCCAACACGGGTGCTGATGTCAGAGCCTCCTTGAGTGCCCGAAAAGTCGCCTCGCATTCCGGTGTCCAGATCAGCTGCTGCTCCTTCTTCAGCAGGTTCGTCAGCGGCTTGGCGAGGCAGGCAAAGCTCCGAATGAAGCGTCGATAATAAGAGGCCAGCCCTAAGAAGGCTCGAACCTGAGTGAGCGTGACCGGGGCCGGGGCTTCGCGAACCGCTGCTACCTTCCTGTGATCCGGTTTCAGTCCCTCGACCGTGACGATGTAGCCCAAAAAGGAAATTTTGGACAAAAAGAACTCGCTTTTCTCCAGAGCCACTTTGAACCCCGCATCTTTCAACGCATGCAACACCCATTCGACATGTTCCACATGGTACTCGTAGGTTTTGGAAAAGACCAAAATGTCATCCATGTACACAATCACACAGAAATTTATCAACGGCTGTGTCAAACGGGTTTTGTTAACGAACTCAGCGAAGGCCATATTCATGGCCCGCTGGAATGTTGTGGGGGCGTTACAAATTCCCATGGGACACCGGATCCACTGCCACGTGCCTTCGAACAAGACAAAAGCGGTTTTGGGCTGGTCTTCCGGTCGGACCGCGACGTGGTGAAAACCGTGTCGGATATCGAACTTTGAAAAGACCCGAGCGGACCCGATAGCATCCAGCAGGTCGTCAATCCGCGGTAGCGGATACACATCTTTGGTAGTAATAACGTTTAATTTGCGGTAGTCAATACACACTCGGATTGAACCGTTTCGTTTTGGCACGAGGACCACGGGAAATGACCATGGTCCCAGCAATGGTTCAACCCACCCTAACCGCTCGAACTCCCGTACCCTGTCCAAGGCCAACTGTCTTTCCTTTAGGGAATAACGCTACGGTCGGCAATGTATCGGAGCGCAGTCACTGGTATCAATTTCGTGTTGGATCAGGTGGGTAAGTCCTATATCGTGGTCCTGGATACTGACGGCCTCTGGGTGGGCCCGTATAACTGCCAAAAGAAGGCGTTTGTAGTCGTCAGGCACATGGACCGACAACTGGACGTCCACGTTTCCCTAAGGGAGGGAGATCGTCGTCGTAACCACGGGGACTGCCGCGTTGGCTTCGGGTGAGGCACCAAACAGAGAATTGTCGTTTTTTGCCGAAAGCACGGTCGTGATAAGTTGACTGTATGCGGGGCTTATCGGTTCATTTTCCATGTCACTGTCGGTCTCGAGCTCGGTTTCAGCCGAGGGTTCCATTGAAAAGGCCTGTATCAGTTCGTTCGGCCTCCATCGATATTCCCTCGTCCGGGGTTGAAATGACACCCCTTCCTTCAAGAGCAGGGCGGCTTTTGCGTTTGTAAGCAGGGGCCTGGGAGGCCGAAAAGTTAAATCGCACAACCCCCTGAGCTCCGTAAACCTTTCGGGTAGGGGGTCCGTTCTACGATATAAGGACGCATGGGGTTCCGAAAGGTCAGTTATTCGCGACACCCTCAGCAGGGGTTCCCCCTGCACCACTCAGGAGAACGCGTGCGACCAATCGGACTCGCTCCGAACTATTTCCAGGGGTTCTCGTGGCCAGGAATGGCGCCACCGGTCCTGAACCCGGATCGGATATCGGTCGGGAACGTCGGTCTCGTCAGTTTCCGACGAGGTTTCATTTTCGCCTGGTGACAGGCGTCGGATCATGTTGATTTGACGGGCTTTCGTGGTGATTCGAGGCGCCGGCTGGGTGCGCATACGCACCGCCAATCTCATTGGTATCGTTTGTGGTTTGGGGTGGGCCGATGTGAGCACCACCTTACAACTGTCAAAGTGCATTCGCGCTCCGACCGCCGCCTGCCATGGAATGCCTAGCAGAACATCATATGCGTGTACATCCAGCACGATTGCGTCGTACAAACAATGCACCCGCCCCACCCGTATAGGCACGTTCGTTATCCGCCCCTTACAATGAATGCTGTCTTCCGTAGCGGATATATACAGTTCATCCGGTCGGAGGGGCTGAACTTGTCCTTCCCTTCCCAATCGTTTCGTCAATCTCCAAGAAATGGCGACCGCTGACGATCCCGAGTCTAGGATGGCGGCCGAGGGGTTTCCCCAGACCTCGCAGTCACACTCAACGCTTTTCCAGGTTATAGGATAGGCTCGGAGGAATACCTCGTTTTTTTCCGAGGCAGAATCTACGGTCTGGATCATTCCTATCCGGTTGGCTTCGTGCACCTTTGAGGTCGAGGGCTGTGACTCTTCGTTTGGGGGTAGGTCTCGTAGGACCGGCTCTTTGCCCTTTCGACTTTCCTCGAATCGGTGCCTGTTTTTGAGGCATCGTTTGATCAACTTTTCGTTGGCCACTTCGGAAATGGTTAGCAGATAGGGAATAGGGACGGGGATCCGTAGATCCAGAGCCTTCAATGCATCCAACACATCGATGTGACCATCTTTGTACTCAGGGCCAGGGGCCGTGAGATCTTCGACCGCCGACCGCCAAGGCCTGTGACCATCTTTGTACTCAGGGCCAGGGGCCGTGAGATCTTCGACCGCCGACCGCCAAGGCCCGAGATTGCTTTCCTCGGTAATCCGTTGGACGTGACGTATCACTCCAATGGTTCCGGGTTCGAACATCGCCGCAGCCATGTACTCATCGGGCCCTATCTCGGTGGCCGCAGGGGTCACCATTTCCGTTGTTCCAGTATCCATCACCGTGGCTACCCTCCCTTGTCCCGCAGCGGTTGGAGCAGCCAGCGGGATTTGGGAAGGTCCGGTGGGCCCCGCGGGCCCACTCTGAGTTCGAGGTTTCGGACAATCTTTCGCAAGGTGGCCTGGCTGATTACAATTATAACAGCGTAGGGGCGGGACAGCCCCGGCCACGGCCGGTCTTATCATAGGGGCCCCGACGGCCATAGTCGCTTGTTGCCGTTGCGCGGCGGCTATGCGTTGCTGCTGCAGACCTTGAACAAACTCCGTCAACGGGGCCACTACCGTAACTAGTTGGGCCGCGACCTCTTTCATGGATACTTCTTCCTCGCCTCGGCCTCCTTGAGCTTGACTAGAGCGACGGGAGGTCGAAGCAGAGGAAGAAGCTTTCCGATCCGAGCCTTTTTTTGCTGGACCCAACCCGAAGCGATCTTCGAACATTCGTGCCGTAGCGGAGTAGCTATTGCGTCGAACACCCGAAGGGTCGTCTTCGTCGGATTCTGAGTCCAGGCCCACATCGTAATTTTATTTCCCGTACTTAATGGCGTACTGAATTAGCTCCGTCAGGGTATGTTCTATAGGGTTGCATTTCTTGCGGATCTTTTTTCGCAGGCGAGAATCTGACAATCCTCTGACGAAATCAGTCCGTACCATTTTCTCGTCCACCCCGGAGCGTTCGGCTAGGTACGTAAAACGTTCAGCATATCTAGCCAAGGTCTCCCGAGGCTGCTGCGTGTATTCCTTTATTAGATAGAGGCATTGACCTGGTGCGATGTGATCAAATCTGTCGAGAAATTTCCTCTGGAAGGCTAACCAATTACTGAAGGGGTTCTGTCCATACCACTCAAAAGCGGTTCCGGCTAACCTTCCGGGAATTCGTTACCGGAGCAACTGGTCCGACCAGCCCTGGGCTTTCAAGGCAGCTAGCCAGAGGGTCGGTATCATCTTCGGAGAAAATGGGAACTTTGGAGGGAGGAGGTACAAAATACAGGGGATGATTGGCCATCCCCACGTGGTTATCGTCGTCGTTTCCACCCCCAATTCCGGGTTCAACCATCGCGGGAGGTGGACCTCGAGCCCGACCTCTCGCTCGGTTTTGATTGCTATTCGTGGGCCGCCGTCGACGGGGAGCCAGCCTACTCAAAAAATGAGAAAAATCTAATAAAAAGATCAAAAAGGAAAAACTCTAAAACAGGGTTATTGTCCTAGGAAAACCTCAGAGCCGAAACGAATCAGCTCTGATACCAACCTCACGCCCCCTCGCGGCTTCCTGTACTGGGTCGTCGATCAGAGTTCTAGGAGGGGCGTGGCCAAGGATTTTTGGCCGTAGGGGTTGAGTCTCCCGGGCGGAACGGGAGGCTCTCGTTTCGTGTCAGAGGTTACCCCGGAGTCGAACTGTCGTCGCGAANAGGATTTTTGGCCGTAGGGGTTGAGTCTCCCGGGCGGAACGGGAGGCTCTCGTTTCGTGTCAGAGGTTACCCCGGAGTCGAACTGTCGTCGCGAAGTCCCGTGGGGGTCGGATCACTTCGGAGCGATAAAATCAGAAGGGTTTCCGCAAAAACGAATTGCCGTCATGCATCAGGACGGGAGAAGGCATCAAGGGGAGAGGGCCATGGCGGCGGAAGACAGAAACCCTGACCGTCGTGGGTTTGGGGGATAGGTGGTGGTTTCGAAGCCTTCAGGCCTCGTCATCGGCCTCAACCGGACCGTCGGGTTTTTGCTGTAGAAGTGGTTGGTTCGAGGCCTTCAAGCCTCGGCGTCGGACTCGCAAAGTCCGCGCGGAAGTTTCCGAGAGGGTGAAGCGGTGGGAGGACTCGCCGGCATCCGAATTCGAAATTGCGTGGGCATCGCCCCCGCATTACGGGAGAGCTTGGGGAAACGTGTCGCTCCCTCGTAACCCAGGACCAAGCATCGCCAGGAACACGAGTCCCCCTGGCGACACCAGCGACAATCAAACTGCGGCCGCCACGCGGCATGAGCGGCCGACCAGGGCAACACAGTCAAACCCGTATAAGGCAATATTAGAGTCGGGGAATCAAAGCGATCAATAAAGACAAACCCGTTCCCCCTTATATTACACGCCCGAGGCGGGTCTCGCCAACACACTTGCTCCGTCCGTCTCATCGCGCGTCGTACGTCCGCATCTCAGTAGACGCTGTCGTCATCTGCAATGGGGAAGGTCGGTAGCGAGATGAGACGATCGGAGGTGCGCAATGAACACGGGCAAGATCCCGCGCTCCCGATCATCCGAACCAACACCGGCTCCATACAACACTCGATGCAACCCTTCTCTCCCAAGGTTGGGGCGTCGGGAGAAGATGGCGAAATCTAAGCTCTCTTCCCCTGACGGGGGCGTCGACCACGCGCGCGCGGACGYTGGCGGTTGACGTCACCGGTGCAGGGATGAGAAGTTCAAAAACGATGACTACCAATTCAGAAAGAAAGGCRAGAGAGAGAGCGAGAGAGAGTTACACGAGACTGCACGTGCGCGCAGGAAGGGCCGCGGAAGGGAGGGGAACAACGGGATTAACGCACTCATACTCCTAAGCAGWCGGTCCTCCAGTTCTGTTCCCCCGTCCCCGCCCGGATAGGTAYATACTCACATACATGCATGCAATCAACAACCCTTGACAGGACATCCAATCATCCATAGACCTTTGACATCACTCATGCGCGCAACAAGCTCCCATCACTCRGGGCCTCACACACACGTCATGCATAGACAAAGCAGCARTGGARATAAARGCGAGTCCTTCTTGTACACAAAAATTCTCAATTAGCTGCCGCCCCCAGGCGTAGCCTTCAAAACTTCCCAAGACCACCGACCACCATAGCCACAAGGCCCTGCCGCGGCCGTTCGTCCAACCCCCCMCCACTGCTCAGTCCCTCCGACTGCTTCGCCYCGAGACTACCGCGGGTCCACCCCGCGTCGTCACTCCGCCCGTCCTTGGGCTCGTYGAGCCTGTTCGGCGCCGCGGACTTYGCGCATAGCTCGCGCAGCATTGCAGSCGMGATCAAAGAGAAGGAGAGGAGAGGGTTGCGCGAATTTATAGCGCGGGAGGCGGCGGGTTGTCAGCGCGAGGTGCGGGCAGCGCAGGGTGTAGATGAGCAGGACAKAAGAAAGGTGGGGAGTCAGRGGGTTCGACCCGCGGGTTTGCATGGTCCTACGTGATTGGGGTGTTYGTTCAAGTGGTGCGCGGTTTCCCGCTCTCCACATTGATCCGAGCATCCCAACTACGCAGCCAATCACTTCGCGGAAGAAGACGGGGTAAGGATCAAGCTGGGCGTAGGGGAAGACGAAGAGTCCGTCCTGAGGGAAATGCGCGCAGCAAGAGAGGAAGATGGCGCGGGGATGCAAAGCAAGAAACGGGGGTGCGAGACGCGCGAAGAAATCGGAGCTTAGGCGTGCGCGTGCAAAAAAAAATCAAAAAGTCCCAACCGAAACCGTTTCTTGGTTGTTATACCGCGGCCGCTATTCGTCCGCGCGGGAGTTATTATCCAAAAAAAAATAAATGAAAAAGCCGTTTCAAAAAGAAAACAAAAGCAAAAAGAAAGAAAAACCCCTTTTTGTTCGCATTCGTACTTCGGGGCTCCGGGGGATTTTTCCTCAGGGATACGGCAAGCTGCGCGGTATGGGTCTGAGCTTATCACAAGCACACCATACAACAAAATCAGTTTGAAGTTATGTCATGAGTGGGTAGCCGACATTGTCGGCCACACGCATATGTAGTCCAGCCTCTGGCCAGGACACTTGGAGTATGACCCCAAGCATACGTTGTGTTAGGGAAGTCACTGTAGCTTTGAAGTCAGTAGTATTGTTACAGATATGTTCAAACCTCGTTAGCTGTCCTGTGAGCACACCTGCAGGCTGATGAGTTGGGACATTGGAGGGAGCACTGGGATAACGTACGACGGGGAATGTCCAAGCTTCAGCCTTATCAAACACTCCAATGTGAAGCAGGTCGCCTGGCCAAACCAGGATTCTTGCTCCGAGGAATTAACATGACCCATCTTGCTCAATAGTGTCTTTCCACTCAAGACCACACCGAGCAGGAGGGGGCAGAGTTGTCTCCCAAGATAGGATGTCATCGATGGACCGATATGTTAATGCATATGCTTGCGCTGCGCATAGATGTCACTAACAAAGTTCGTCGATGAATTGTGCTTCATCCCAATAGAGTGTGAAGTTGGCAATTTCTGGTCTGGCGTAGTGCCCATAGGGATACCAACCACCTGATGGCACAGAGTGCCATTTGTTGGATAAAGAAAAGTACTAGAGACCACAAAGTGTAGATGTTTTCTATTTTTGGCTATGAAATGGTGTCTGAGCCATGTGACGTAACCCACTCCCCACGATGAGGACCTCCCACACTCATGTACATTTGTACTGGCCTTCTGCCATGTGGGATCGATACCAAAACATAATCATGTGATTCACGAACAACATTTAGGGCACCATTAAGAGTCCTATCGTGTAGCAGGTTTGTGTACATTGTTGTAAGATGCACCGTGTGTGGCGTACAACCTTAAAGAGAATGCGCATTTTGCTTAAGATCCAAAATGACTTCCTCAACACTTTGCACGATGCAGCAACGTTGTACACCACTTTCTTGATAAAAAACATTGCCCTTACTGCATAGAGACTTGATCATGCCTTGGAGAGCATAGCTAAGTAAGCAAGAGGCCATTGATGTACTTGCAAGAGGCTTATGAGGGGGCCTATTATATAGATCTGAGACTGAAGGTCAATGAGGTGTGGAGCGAGGTGCAAGTTGGGAAAGGTTATTTTGCTGAGTAACTCCAAGAATCGGATGAAGAGCGGGTGGAGATTTGTGTGCTTCGAGTGTGAAGTAGAGATAGGGTGTCCGTAGGTCGATAGCCCCAAGTTGATTAAAAAGTGCATGGTGTTCAAGGTTGCTGACCAGAGACTCCTTTGCTTGATTTTAGGTGGGACTATCAAGATGTTGTGATAACTTAAATGCGTACCAGTGTTGGCAGCAGATTGCCACGTTGTGTGACGTTTCATCGACAGGGACTATGGTGAATTGTTGTTGTAGTTGCTTGAGAGATGTGTTGGCAGCTTGTGAGGGAGTCTGAGTAGGTGCTTGGGCATCTTGAAAGAACTGTTGTTCACCATTTGTGCAGCTGAGGGGGATTGTCGACAATTGTACATCCATAGATGCATGAAAATCTCATGACTGCTATAAATTTGGCAATATAGTCGCGCAGACCGAGTTTCAATGCTTTCATCACATCTGTGGTGCTGACATTGAGGCGGTACTTAGAGCCTTCAAAGAAGAGAGCCCGCAAATGGGTATTGTATAATAGTATAGTCCATTGTGGCCTTGCGAGCATCAACAAGCCTGTACTGTGTGGAAATACTTGTCGACAAGGATAATTGCTAGGGAGGCTAAGATCGCATGTTATGTTAAGTGTCACTTCTGTAGCATTACAGAACTGGACATGAATGGGCAGCACCATCTTATCACAGATATGTATTTTCTTGGCAAGAGAAGACCGTGGATGTACTTCAACGACCTCTGGTAACTAAAGGATGCCCCGTAATTGTGTGGTGCTAGCAACTTGACGCATATGAACGGAGCCCTATTATGTGCAGGGCTGGAATACAGTTGGCATGAGTATTGCAGACCACAAAGCATGCATTCCTATTGGCGAATGTTTGGTGTGAGCTCAAAATTTGAGGTATTTGTCTGCAGCCATTGCAGCAAGTGAAAGCACCGGGCAGAGGTGGCTTGGGAGCGGGCTATGAATTGCCATTCTAAATTGGCTGCTTGTGTAAGCATGTGATGCAGGGCCACGAGCACAACATGGAATCCACCTGGGGTAGTGTCAATTGTGAAGGGTCTGTCGCATACTTGCAAGCGCACGTCGTCGCGAGTTTCCCGACGTTCCGCGCACACGCCCGACCGTTCCCGCGTGGCGCACAAGATGTGCGGGGAACGGCCCGACCCTTCCCCCCCCAAAAAAAAAAAGAAAGGCGGGGGTTGAAACGACACATTGGAGGCCCCCCGCCAAAATTGATGCGAAGGCCAAAAAAAGTTTTTTAGGCCCGCGCTCAAGGCCGGACCGCGAGGTTTCGAATTTTTGAAACCTGTTTGTACTGTGTGTGGGTGGGCTTGGCTGGGCCTCTTGGGTACGTTTCTGGTTGGTCAGGACCATTCCTGCGAGGGGTGTCGTTGCCACTTCAAGGAGGAGCTGCCGCTGTTCTCAAGTGCCGGCCCGTGCTGAAGTGTTGTCGTGCTGCCGTGCTGCCTTGTGAGGGAGGAGCTTCCCCCATCGCCTGGTGAGTATCACCGGCCTCGACCTCCCCTTCATCCTCCTCACTGCCTCCTCTGCATGCTGCTCCTCTCCTCCTGCTCGTCTTCCTCCTCCTCCCCTTCCCTGTCGCCCTCGTCGCCCTCCTCCTCCTTCTCCTCCTCCTCCCCCTCCTCCTCCTCCTCCTCCCCCCCCCCCCCCCCCCCCCCC